AATAAGTAAATATACATGTATTGGGGGTGTATGCTCAATTTTTTTTTTATAATCAGGAGACAGTTGTACTAGAGCTTCCACTCCACTAGCATACTCTACGAAGTCCGTGTCACAGACTCCCTTGCTATTTTGAGGCATCAGTATGTAATTTTCTAAAGAGTGAGATTTTCCAATTTTGTTGGTGTATTTTCAAGAATTTTTAGTATTTGTATGTACTTGGCCATTGCTCTAACATATATAAATGCTATGGCTTATTTGGCATTTCATATTTTATTTTCCTCTAGAATGTTGTGTAGTTTTAAAATTCAAGTTTCTGTAATAACTTATCTACTCCTTCCTTTCCAGACAGAAATCTTTGTCAGTTGTTTTCTACATCTGTACAGCTTGTGTGTGTAACAGAGGCACAACTACTTTAACATCTTCCTATCAAAGTTGTAGCAGCTTGATCAACATTTAGTGGCCCCTGTACCAGCATTTACGGATTTTGTCCAGAGCTGCTTTGTGGCCATGTTAAGTGGGGAAGACACTGCTATAAGGCATGCCAGATTGGGGATACTGATGAAAAGGGGAAATCTCCGGTTTTCTTTGTAATTCTAGCAATGCTTGTTTTTTTTTGGCAATTACTTCTTTGTTAATAGAATCAGGTATCGTTATGAGCATTCACAGGAAGAGTTTATTTAGTACTGAGTTTTATTAAACGTTTGTGACCACATAATTGTCTTGCAGTTGTGTTGTGTTGCATAGTTGTGTTTATTTCTGTCTATTGTTAGACAGATTTATGTCTTAAAAATACTGTCCATCTTCATGTAGACATATGTATTTAGAACTCTGTATACTTGGAATTACATTGTAGAAATTGTAAAAAATAGCTTTTAGAATAAAGGAAATTAAGATTTAAATTCTCTTTATGATAAATCTAGAGTAAAAACAGTATTATTGAGCATCTCAATAGTTGAGAATAAGAACCTATGCTTTTTGTAGTAACTTAGTGCTTTAGAATATGCATTTTTTTCACTTGGGAAATATCCATTGAAGTATATCATAGTGTATTAATATCTCATTTAGAGTAGTTGAATGGTGTTGGTAGAAATCATAGATTTAGAGCACAAAGGAACTTCAGAGGTTATCTACTCTAACTACCCCATTTAACAGAGGAATTATCTGAGACCCAGAGAGGTTAAGTTACTTACGCAATATCACACAGCTCATCAATGCCAGTGCTGAGATTTGAATCTGTTTCCACTGATTTGAATTACATTATGTTACAGGGCGCTCCTCCCTTTTTATTTTGAGGAGAGAAAGGGAGACTTGAGATAGGGATGGAGACAATATATTCATGGTGAATAATGAAGCCAGGTATTTTTGAAGACCTTAATTCAGTTAGTTACTTTTTTTCCCCCTTAAAAGTAAAGAATTTTTAGATCTTAGCAAATATCAGAATTTAGAGCAGGAGGAGTTTTAGTCTACCCCATAGTCCATCCCCTCATTTTATATAGAGAAGAATGAGATGGCTTGTGCAAGGTTATGACATGGCCTATATCTATAGATCTATACACACATATATTTATACATATATGTGTGTATGTATATATATACATATGTTTCCCCACATACATATGTGTATCTTTCTTCTTTCCCTGCCAAAATTCTTGTATTAAGTTTCATCTTCTACTTATATTCTCCCATCCAGCTATGATTTCCTTTATCCCTCCAATTTGATTTTCATTGTCAGCCCTCTAAATACAGACCTCTAACTGACTTTCTTCAATCTTTTTTCTTATCCCCTCTTAAGTATTATTTCTGACTCTGTATTCTTCTTGTCCTTCCTTCCTGAAAGAGGAAGGTGGAGTGAGGGTTCTTTCTTCTGTAGGAATAATTCTTTTATTCTTTTTCAACCTCATTCCCTCCTTTGGGATTTGGCCTCTTCAGTTCTTTCTCCTCTCTAGCGTCTTCAGGGTTTCCCTCTTTACTGGCTTTTATCTTTTCTGTCTTTAAATGTATACAGTTCTTTTCTGTCTTAGAAAAAAAACTTTCTTTTGGCCATCTTGTACTACAAGCTGCCAAACTTCTCCTATGAGTATAGATACAGACCTCATTTCCTCAACATTTAAAAATTCTGCAGTCTGGCTTTCATCCTCATGACTCTACTGAGACTGGAAGAATTTATTTTCATGCGTCAAAAGCTGTCACACTATCTATCATGGTTATTGTACATCAATAACTATATCTCAGTCACCAAATTCAGTGGCCCTTATTTAGTCTTACTCTCTTTTACCTCTGTTGTCTTTTAACAATTTTTGACCACCTTCATCCAGTCCATTTATTTCAGTCTTCTTTTGGCTTTACAATATTTGTTGTCTATCCTTGACCCTTCTTTTTTGTGTTGTGTTGTCTTAGCTGATTTTTTTTTTTTTTTTGGTCCCTTAGACTGTTCTCCATGGCTGTGTAATATAGAATTGTAGGGATATTACAGAGTACCTTTTCCATATTTTCACTTGATGCATGAATTCCTTTAAGAGTGCCAGTGAAAAAATCACCCAGCATGTATCCATCAGAGAGGTGAAATTTATTACTTTGTAAGATAATCTGTTCTGTTGTTGGACAGTTCTAATTATTTGAAAGTTCTTATTTAGACATCTTCTTGTCTGTCTCCTGCAACTTGTACCCACTTGTTCTAGTTTTTGTTTTCTGGAGACACATGTAACAAAAAGTTCTTTTTTATTTTTATTGTCTTAGCCCACTTTAGACTTTAGCTTTCCTGTTACTATTTTTAGGAATATGTGCCACTGTTTTGTGTACCCTTGGCTATATGTCAGTCCTTTCATGATTTTTATATATTCTCTGCAAATTGAAGGTATTCAGGTAATTCCTTATATAGTCACTGCTTTTTTCACCTATTTCCCTTTTTTCTTCCTAATTGGGTTTATTCGCAGTTGTGTAATAATAATTTCACTTTTTAAAGCCTCCTAGTCCTCTTGAGCTTTATTTCCTTGTAGAGTCCCTGTCTATGGGATTATGCCTATCTTTGATTCGAGTTTTTGGAAATCTTCTCTCTTATGGGATCATAGGATCATATTTAAAGCTGAAAGGGACCTTAGAGGCCAACCCTCTCATTTGACAGATGAGGAAATTGAAGCAGAGTGGTTAAGTCACTTGTACAGTCACATACCTAGTAAATGTGAGGTAATATTTGAATTCAGAGCTTCCTGACTATCAAGTCCTTTGTTCTATCTTTTGCTGCTTTCTAGTTTATTGGCTAAAGTATCTTTCTAACAGTGAGAAGCAGTGTTAAATAGTAGGTAGTGTGACAGCTTTTGAGTCAGGAAGACCTGAGTTCAAATCCTGTCTCTCTTTGATACATATGCTGCCTTTGTAACAGATTGTTTAACCTGTTACTGCTCTAGGCAGTTCTCAAAAACTATATGGGTTACTGAGCAGATACTGAAGTATACCAGTGAAATCACAGATTTGGGCTACATCCCAGAATTCCTTCACTCCAGGATGAGTTGCCATTTTCATTTAAAGTTCAATTTAAGGTTTGTTTTTACATTAACCAGTTCTTCACATCAGAAATAAATAGCAGATTACCTTATTTCCAGTACCTTCTGTGTGATATAGTTGTAGGGTTATAAGATATAGAGTTGAAAGGGAATTGAAGATCTAGCCACTGATTTTACATATGAGGAAACAGAGGCCCAGTGAAAGTAGGTGACTTGTCCAAGGTCATTGACAAGACAAATCAAGAATTTATTACAAACTGGCTTTTTTAGCTGAACCAGACAATGTGTCCAGATTGCTGAGGGTCACTCACCACCACTATATCTCTCTTCCTTGCCATGAAAAAAATCTGTTTTATTCTATAACCTTGGTCTAGCTGTGGTGGTTGTTGTAGTAGTAGTAGTAGTAGTAGTAGTAGTAGTAGTAGTAGTAGTAGT